AGACTCAAGCTGAATTGTCCTGGGAAGAGCGCCAGGACCAAACCTGCAGGCTGAGTGCTTGGTGGGACTGTCAGCACTGCACTTCCTCTCTTCACACCCTGGTGTCACCCTGCTCCTGCAGCCCAGCAGGGCTGAGTGGTTGTGCCCAGCCTGTCGCTGGCCTTGGTGAACACAGCACGCCCCGATGCCAGCCTGGGAGGAGTGTGTGTGCACATGGTTTGCTGGGCTTGCAGCCATGCGAGGGACAGGGCCCCCCTTGGGCCGAGGGGTCTCTGCTGAGTGGTGCTGATAAGGAGCAATAAACGTGGCTCTATGTGTCTGGGGTTGAGCGCTCTGGTTCTCAGGGGTTTGGGGACTGAGAGTTGCAGTGGAAGGGTCATCCTGTGCCTTTCTTCCCCCCTCCCCATGTACCAGAGTGCCTTTCTGTGCTTCTGACCCTGAAGAAGGGATGTCTGTCCCCATCGCACAGGTCTCAGCCTTCCCTGGTACCCTGGGCACAGCCTTTGGGCACTGATCCCTCTTGGGAGCCTAGAGAGGCAACTGGAACAGGTTTGAGTCCAGCAATGACCGAATGTGCCTGTGCTGGTGCCTCCCCTACCATTCCCCGATGCTGGGATGACTCTGGGCCCAGAAGAGATAAAGCTCTTGGCTGTCAGACTAATTTGCCTGAAGCCCAAGTTGGGTGGGAGCACCAGGGTCCATCCTACATCCCAAAGTGCACTGGGACTGGTTCCTCCTGAGCAGGGAGCAAAGCTGTGAGGGCTGTACTGCAGCCCCAGGACCCTTTGCAATGCCACAGCTGGTGCCTGCTCGCTCAGCTGGTGTTTTCCAGCCTCATTGATCGGCCTGATTTCCCTATGGCCACGAGGGTGGCTGGGATGAGACCTTCTGTGAGAGGCTGAGTGTCGTCATTTGCAGGCAGCCCAGGGCACAGCTCTGTCCCCTTCCCTTCTCCCTGGGTAGCACCAGCCGAGTCCAGTGCTTTGTCTTTCTCCTGCCCTAAGAGCTGCCTCTGCCCCAGAGTGTCCCATCCTAGCGAGATGCCATCTGCCCCTGTGCCAGGCAGGGCCGGTGATGTCCCTCTGCTCTGTGGGATGCTGCCTCTTACTCCAGTCACCATGCTGGCCAGCAAGCCTGGTGGGAGCAGGACAGGACAGGCGGTGGTGGACAGCAGCCCTGGCTGGGTGGGAGTCCTTGCCACATACAGCACCTTCTTCATGCCCCTCAGCAACAGCCTGTGCAGCACCAAGGCTCTGCGCTTTTTCCTCTGGGTATGTCCGTTTGGGCCTTCAGAGTGGGGGGGAGTGTTGCAGATAGCATTTCCAGGAGCAGCAGGAGCGAGAGCAGCCCCTGCTTAATGGGTGGGAGGAGGCTGTGGGACTGGCAGTGGGGACAGGAAAGTGCTGATGGCCTGAAGAAGGTCTTGGTACGGTGTCACTTTTCCCCAGGATTCTGTTCAGGATTACTTCTGAGCTGAACCATCCCACTCCTGATGCTCTCCAAAGCAGCAGGAGAGGTTCTGTAGCATCCAGCACTTTCTGGGTGACCAAAGTCCCACTGGTGCCTGGAGAAGACTCTCTAAAGCCATGTGACATGGGTGGAGGCCAGGCTGTGTTGTGGCAAAGACAACAGAGGCAGCAAGGCAGGCAGCCCCTGTGCCTTAGCCAAGGGCACAGGAGCTGGAGAAGCAGTCTGGCATGGGGAAGAGGAGTGGGACCCCTGGGCTCACAGCGTGAGGGTGGTGAACTGGTCACTGCACCAACTGCCCAGGGATGTCCCCTCTTCTCTCCCTCTGTACTTACTGGCAGCAGCAGGAGCAGAAGGTGGCAGTGAAATGGAGACCCTGTGTGCCCTGTGGATGAGGCCTGAACCCACAGACCTGCAGCAGCCTTGGCTATGTTCGACCTGTCCCAAGGGGTTGCTGTGAGGGCAGGAGCAGCTCTCCAGGCATATCAAGGTCCCCACTGCCTCTCTGGGTGATGCTGGTGCTGGATCCTGAGTGACTGGCAGAGATACTCAGCAGAGAGCTCTGCTCTGCTCTGTTCCGTTCCACTCAGCTCGATGTGCCTTGGTAGTGGGAGGGGAAGCAGAATTGGGGTGTAGAGCACTGGGGAAACAGGGCTGCAGGTTTTCCCCAGCTCCCATCTGGCTGTTCACTGCTTGCCGAAATCCAAGTGTGTCTGCTGGGACTGATGCTTACATGCTGGGGGGAGCTGTGGGTGACTGCAGGCCTGGCTCCTGCTGCTTTCCTGGGTAAATAAGAGGTGAAAAAGCCTGCTTCTGTGATGGGGAGCAGGAGGAAGAGGTGACCTGAGTGTCCTTCACCTACTTTGGTTTTTCTCCCAAACTGGAGAATTCTTCCTCCGAAGCAGCATCAGGCAGCAACTATCATCCTGCTCCTCTGCAGCTTATCAAAGGGAGAGGGGCTGAGTCCCCTGCCTGTATCTGCATCCCTTCACACCTCATGAAGAAATCAGCTCCTGGGACTTGACAAGGCCTTGGTGAGGAGTGGGTGACATCCTTGTGCTCTGTCCTGCAGCTGAAGTACATGAAGGAGCTGGAACAGGAGAAGGATTTCCTGCTGCAGGGCCTGGAGCTGATAGACCGGGCTCGGGAGTGGTACCACCAGCACATCCAGCTCATGCAGGAGCACCAGCAGCTCCTGGGGAAGAAGAGAACCAGTGCTGTGAGTCTGGGGGCTGTTCTTGGAGTGCCTGGCTGCTTGGGAGGGGATGGGGCTGCTCTGTGGGTTTGGATAACCAGTCTGGGACTTGGCTGGACTTGGAGCCAGCCCCATGGTAACCCATAGCATCTTCTTCCTCCCCACCCCACAGGATTTCCTTGAGGGCAGCCAGAGCCACCTGGGGCGCCTGGTCCCCAAGCTGCAGGAGGTGAATCGCTGCCTGGGTGACCTTCTTTCTGCCGCAGGCAAGGTGAGAGCAGCACATCAGCAGCATGAGGTTATCTGTGTCACCTTAGGACCCATCCTGTCCCCCCATGCTGGTGGCTGCGCTGACACAGCTGCCAGAGTTTACCCCTGCTTTGGGGAGGTGATCTGGGCAAGACAGATGATGGAGAACAGCTAAGAGGACAATACAGCTGGTCCTGAACTGGGCTGGTTGATGCTCAAGGCAGCTGGGGAGATCCCCAAAAAGGTATAGCCGTTGTCAAGTGAATAGGGAACCCAACCTGCTGAGGTGCTGAGTCAGTCCCCTCAGAGCTGGCTGTCCCACCAGGCTCCTGGCAGGAGCCAGGCACATTGGCAGGGATG